AAAAGCACTACCAGTGCCGTGAATATTGCTGCATCCACAGCTGGTCGTGGAAGTCTACCTCACCCATCCAGCGGTGCTAGTCACGCATCGCGAATGACAGGGAACTTCAATTCTCCGTCCTCCAGGATTATGAAAGCTGCTAGTATGGATAGTGGTACTACTACCAGTAGACAACCGTAATGGGAGCACGGGGAACCCTTCTTGTTTGCTTGAACTGTGCCGACCATGTAGATATTCTGTGTAAGCATTTGAAGCGCTAGCTCAATCAAAGTGTAGAATCGATCTGCGGTGACTTCGTGACGTAGAGAATAAGGTGGGAGATCTACCTTTTACGTTCACTAGAGTGTTGGTCAGCACCATAAAAGACTATACGCATTATTAGAAAGGAAGATAATATCACATGTGAAATTTAACCAAAACAAAGTTTTATCCGTGGTGGAGAGCATAGATATACACCGAAGACAGTTTGCGGTTTCCGTGCAGTATATCATGGACACGAAGATCTACTACAGCGTATCCACAACGGATCAAGCTCGGTCCTTCTCAACCATCGGGTTCGCGTTGTTCGTGAAGGTGCCGATTTAGTTGATCCTGCCGGAACGCACTTTCGACATGTAATGTCCGAATTTTCCTTCCGGAACAGCACCAATAGAAGTTCATGTTCAGTGAGTAGCGAGTTATTGTCTATGATGGCAAGCATTCTTGCTACGAGAAATCCAATACAATGCAATACTTCTTCAGTCTTGATTGCTTGTGTTCCTTTGTCTTACTGACCACATCTTCGACTATGGCACGTCTTCACCTTGGCCGCGCCGATTTTTATACATCCTATGCACGAGCTCGTTAGTTATAGTAGCAATTGCTCTCTGCACTCATCACGAGCCAAAGTGTGGGCAGTGTGAAGAAGTAGAACCGTTCCAGAGAAGAATCGGTGTGCTCCAGCACAGTTTCTGTAGGCTAAAATTTTCCAGGCTTTTCACAGGTAGAAGTGGTGAAGAAATTGGTATAATAACAAACATGACAAGTATATGGGACGACGTATATACGCAAAAATAATAATATATCGACTTACAAACCACCATCCGTCTTCTCGCGTTTCTCTAAGCCATCAGCATCCAGGGCTTTCACCCACGCGACCCGGGTTCGAGTCCCGGTTTGGGAATTTTGTTTTCCCGTACCTCGTCACTGCCTCGCGACCGTACTTTGCGGTTGTTATGGTCGTGACCGGATGGTTGTGCGGCTGTTGGCCAATTGGTATTGCGTTACGATATGC